ACCAGTGTTCTGCTTCACACTCGATGACGTCATGTTGATGGAGCTGAGCATCACCTGTGTGATGGACACACCTGAGTGATGGACACACCTGAGTGATGGACACACCTGAGTGATGGACACACCTGAGTGAAACACACCTGAGTGATGAACACACCTGTGTGATGGACACACCTGTGTGAATGGACACACCTGAGTGAAGGACACACCTGAGTGAAGGACAGTTAGTGTGAACTGCTCCTTTAACTGACTCACCTTTGGTCCTTCTCTCTTGATGGGATCAGATTTGGGCTTCACTCTGAGAACAGAAACAGGCACAGGTCGGTCAGGTGTTCTGATCTACCTGGATAGGGATGATGATGTCACATGCTACCTGTCGGATACTCACGGAGTGGAGAAGCTGTGAGGTCTGTCAGAGGCGGCAGACACACCTGGACGAGCCCTCCTCTAAAGAAACAACAATAATACATCAATCCTGTCACCTGTCAGTAACACCTGTCACACCTGTCTGTCACAGCTATCAAATGTCTATCATCAATCACCTGTGTTACCCGTCATATCTGATGTACACAACGTCACACCTGTCCGTCATCCATCACACCTGTCTGTCATCCACCACACCTGTCCGTCATCCACCACACCTGTCCGTCATCCACCACACCTGTCTGTCATCCATCACACCTGTCTGTCATCCATCACACCTGTCACCTACCTGTCACCTGTCTGTCACCTGTATCTAACACCTGTCTAAATTGAGTTTTATTTACTTGTATCGGTCTAAAAACCTCAGTGATGTTTTACGTTGATGTGATGTCACCTGATCATGGCGACCTGTCTGTCTGACTAACAAACACCTGAGGTGATCAGAGGTATCGGTACCTTCTTCGGGACGGGGCTCCCTCTCTGGACGTAGTCTTCATCGGCAGGTCTGGACCTCTGACGGGACACAAAGAACCAAATCAGAACCAAACCAGGTGGAAACTGAATCTTCAAGTTCTCATTGGTTGATTCTTACCTTGATCACAACTTCTGACCCCGCCCTCTTCACCTCTGGCTCTGGAAACAGCTGTTTGGCCTGGTGATGACATCAGAGAAAACCATGGTAACCACATGCACACACACACACACAGCTTCATTTTTGTACAACAGGAGGAGGTGGAGACCTGTCGTCCATCTTTATATAAAGTCATTAGGGAGAGAAAACAGGAAGTGATCTCACATGTTCCAGGACGTTCCTACAGGCCTCTTTGATCAGCTGATCGGTCGGAACGTCATCGCCAACGTTCTCCTTCACGTTCTCCGCCGCTTTGTCAAAGAACTGGAACAAACACGACGACAGCATCAACACCAGCTGTTCACACCTGCTCATCTTTATCAACACCCCCCCACCCCCGTGACCTCTGACCTTCTGGTACTTTCTGAACACGGCCATGATGTCATCGTTGAAGCTGGGCTGAAGCACCGCCCTCAGCAGGTCCATGGACACCTGAGGATCAGTGTAGCTACAAACACAAGAGGACCACTATGAACCAGACTGGAGCGCTCAGTCCTTTTAACGACCTGAGAAAAGACTGTTTCCACTCTGTGTGGTCACATGACTTAAAGCTACATTCAATCCAGATGTGGAAATGTAAACATCTCAGCTTTCATCAAATGAAAGTGGGCGGGGTTTCATCTAAAGCATGTTTATTAAAAAAACAAAAACTGAAAACTGTTTTTTGATTGGCACATTTCATTTAACTGACCCCGAACAGGATCCTCAGAGTGGACCAGTACATCCCAGTATGAACCAGTACTGACCTGACTGTCATGTGTGAGCGCCGTCCTCGTCTGTGAATCTGTCTGTGCTTGATCATCAGGTTCCATGGATTCTACACACACACAAAAATGTCATTACTTCGATATTTTTCAACACCACGTTTTTAGGTCGGGTACAATCACTTCTATCTGAACCACTTCTCTTGACCGCTTCCATCGCTGCAACACCTGTTGACCTGATAACTGCTCTCATATCTGGCAAACCGAGGGGCGTCCAAAACGGCTGTGTGGGGGCGTGTCTTAAAGCGCCTACCTTCTCTGGTCCAAACAAATCCAGAGCATTCAGGAGCAGAATCTAAAGTTAGAAGGAGGACATACTGGCTGCTGCATTGTTGTCAGAGAAGCCAGCACTTCAACATAGCATGTTTCCTTAATGATCAGAGAGTAAGATACCTTTATCATCTCACTCTCTACACAGCTCACTGATTGGTCCTTTAATGATCAGAGAGTAAGATACCTTTATCATCTCACTGATTGGACCTTATATGAAAAGATAAAGATAAACGTTATTGATCCCTTGAAATGTTTTGTGTTACAACAGCTCTAGAAAACAGGAAGCAGGAATATAATTATTAAAAATAACAAGAAGTAAAAAATCAAACATAATTACATCTGTTAAATAAAGGGTGAAAAAATACAATAATAGAATAATACAAGGTATGTACACTTCCACTTGTGGAAAGAGTTATTGTTATTAAAATAAAAACACTATTAATTAATTAAATGAATGTTTCTCCTATGTGAGTGCTTGCACCTGTCAGCCCCCGTGACAAATACAGCAAAAGTTATCAATCGACCAGTTAATCAACAGAAAGTGAACCAGAGAGGTTTAATCGATTAATCGTTTATTAATTTATTGATCTATAAACATATTCAGTGTTTACAGATCAGACTGTAAACTGACCGATAAAACAACTATTTACCGATTCATCGATAACAACTGTCAGCCGTGACGTCACCTATAAGACACATACTTAAACCCACAAAGTTTTCCAGACACTGACAAAATAAAACCAGTAAAACCAGTAAAACCACAGAATCATCTGATGGACCAGAAGCTAGCCAGGCTAACGCGTTAGCCTCCGTTAGCTGTGGTTCTTACCGGACTCTGCTCCGGACCCTCCGGCTCGATCCAGTCCCGGCCTCCCTCACTGCGGTGGGCTCCCATCACTCAAACGATGCTGATCCAATCCGGTCCGGGTCCAAGCGAACAACTCGAGTGGGCTATGCTAAGCTAACGGCAGGTACAGCTAAATAACTGGGTCGGATAACGGATGTAACAAAGTACCGAAACCGGTCCGGTAGTTCCTGTGAGTGTCGGTGTGTTACGGTGAGTCACCGGGCTGCCGGGACTTCAGAAACTGAATGTTGATGAACTGACAATAAATTATTTATTTGGACCGATGATGATGTTTGTTTCCAGGAAGTTACTCTTCGGCCTTTTCCGCTCAAAACAACGAAAAATCCCGATTATCAATTTCAGAATAAAAGCATCAAGGTGATCATAAAATACACATTTTGTTTTTTACAATAAATATAAAACATTACGTTAATTAAATAATTCCAATCTTGGTTGAATAAATAATTATTATAAATATGAAAAATAACATGTATGAACATATTCAAATTAAATATATTTTCACGGGCTTTTATTTCCTTCAGTCTATGAAATGACCCTGCGTTTATTTGGGACAGGCGTCAATAAGAGACAGGAGTTTAACTATTTTTAAACAAAACTCGAGCACAGCAAAGATGAGAAAGACTATCACATTGTACATTTACACCAGTTGTAATAATCAACTGTTGATTAACAAATTAAAGTAAATAAAATGTGTCAAGATGTGGAGACCCCAGGAAGAGTAGCTACTGTTTAACACAGATGCTAATGGGGATCTTAATAAACCAATCAAATCAAACTACCAGACAAATAAATCACTATTCTGTAGGGCTGTATAGAGGAATAGAGCGGCCTTCATGAGTCAAAATGTGCAGCTTCACCAGTAAGAAGGACTGGGCCTCGAACTGGGATGGGCTTTGATAAAGATTTACGGAATGTGTAGTTGTTCGTGTGTGTGTGTGTGTGTGTGTGTGTGTGTGTGTGTGTGTGTGTGTGTGTGTGTGTGTGTGTGTGTAAATTAAGATTTACAATTTCATGTTTATTTGATATCAGCTTCTGTTATGAGCAATGTATCAACACATAGTATTTCCTATTAATATCAGAATAACCATTTCTATTATTACCCTGCCCTCATTTGATGTTTATTTTATCAGCTTTACCGTCTCAGACGTACTGCTCAGTGCTCCCACTTTTTTGTTTAGAGTCTTTTAGCATTAAAGGTCACATATTCCCCTCTTCGTTAAATAAGTCTCAGAGCTCCCCAAAACAAGTCTTCTCCATGTTCCTCTACTCTAACATGTGTCTCTAGTCCGTCTACAAACCCCCCAATGATGAGAAAAGTCCATCCTCTCCGTCTTCTGCCTGCTCACTTTCAGAAAATGTGTGCTCAAACAGGCCGTTTGGCAATTTTCCCTTCATGACATCACAAGGGCAGTAGCCCCTCCCCAGGTGGGTGACACTCCCACAGCTAGGTGTTTGTTCTGCCCGGAGTCTGCCTTCTCCCCGTAAACAATAGGACATGGAGTGAGTCCTTCTAGAGAGGGGGCGTGGTCATACACAGCTCATTTACATATTTAAAGGTACAGACACAGAAACAGCCTGTTCTGAGCAGGGCTGAAATAGAGGGGTTTATAGACATGATCAAATACAGGATCAGAGTGGATTTAGAACAAGAAACTTTTGGGGAGCTCTGAGACTTATTATCACTGAAGAGGAGGAGAATATGTGACCTTTAAACTTCATAATAAATATTTAATTTCAGGTTTTTAAATCATGAGTGTTTGATTCTGTTGGATGATGACAGATGAACATGACAGACGATCATAAAGACGAGGACGGCCGCTGTGTAAGTGGGCTGATATATTTTTTACTGGCAGAGTGAAGCTGCAGTTTGTCTGCAGGCAGGATGAAGGACAGACTGTATTTACATTCTCCAGCTGTGAGGACCCCAACACAAACATGGCCGCCTTCATCGCTGTGCGGTGTCACCACGTTAAACATCATTTCAGAGTCACGTTCAGAGGTTTTAGATTCTTATCTGGTTTAATGAACTTCTTCAACTCTGAGGAACAAGTCGAAGGTTTACTTCAACAATAAAGAAACATGTTTAAATCCAGCAAAGACAAACAACTGGAGGTGTTTCCTGCTCGTCCGGCACTTCTTCTTTTAAAGGCATTAAAAGACCATTAAAAATAACCTTTAATCTTTAAGATAAATCACCTCGTCAGTTATGAAACATAAAGAATCTTTAAAAACACGATGAACTTCCAGCAGAGAAAGTTCCAGAAATTAAGTTCGCTTTTGACGGTTAATACTTCCTCCGGGATAAGATGAGATATTCATCTCCCGAGGAAACATTCAGTTGAACTTTTGTCTAAATTGAGATTTAATTTATCAGGTTTTCTAAAACTTTTTGTAGTTTTAACTGTTTCATCAAAGTTAGAAACAGGCGTCTTAAAAACGATGTTTTATATCGACAGCATAATGCAAATAATAAACATTTTAGTCCCAACCAATTTCCCCTCGGGGATTAATAAAGTACTCTTTTTAAACCCCTGTGACCCCCCCCCCGTCCCGTCCCGTCCCGTCTTCAGAGACGTTACAAAGTAGAGACGGGATCAGCTGAGACAGCGGGGAGAACAGCGTGTGTGTGTGTGTGTGTGTGTGTGTGTGTGTGTGTGTGTGTGTGTGTGTGTGTGTGTGTGTGTGTGTGTGTGTGTGTGTGTGTGTGTGTGTGTGTGTGTGTGTGTGTGTGTGTGTGTGTGTGTGTGTGTGTGTGTGTGTTTGTGTGTGTGGAGATCCTGGGATTATAATAAAACATCTCCAGTTTGTTTTCTTTGCTCAACTTAAAGGTTAAAGGAAAACACAAAACTACTGATTTCACTAGAACTGTCACATTAGCCTAGCTTAGCATAAAGACCCAGTACAATGCTAGCTTAGCATAAAGACCCAGTACAATGCTAGCTTAGCCAGCAGACATTTGACTTTCCCCTTAAGGAAACTAAAAATCTGTTTTTTTTTTTTTTTTTAAACATTTAGAATATTTTTCTGTGACGCAGCGACACCGCCCAGCCCGAAGACTTGGCTTTAAAAAAAAAAAACACATTCAGGAACAAGAATATCTTTTAGAGTCCAAAAGGTTTCATGCAGAACAAAACAAAAACAACCCTTAGAAAACAAAGCGGTGACATACAGGATTATAAAAATAACGTGGAGGAGTTTCCTGCTGGTTGGACTTCAGCATTACCGATGCATACACACGTCTACTTTACATACAAGATATAGATTTTTTTTAATAACACTTTGGTTTAGTTTAAAACAAACTATTATAAGCGGTATAATACAGAGAACAGATCTCAATCTTTAAAAAAATGTTAAATTAATCAAATAAAAAAACATTTAAATTCATTTTTCAATCGATTTAACAGCAGATGAGGAAAATAACATCAACAGACTTCATTTCAGTTTGACTGTACAGTATGTACACACGCCATCGTCAGGCGGAGACAGACGTCTGATTGGACGACATCAACCAATCAGAGAGCAGGCGGTAAGCTGTTGGAGTCAGGTTAAGAAGTGTTTTGTTTGATGAAGGTTCATTTTTTAGTACATTAGTGCCGATAACACTTCATGTCTTCCACCTTTCGCCACCTGTCGTCTTAACAACGCCATCATTCTGCTGATCGTACTTCCTGTTTGATGATGACAGGGGAGGGTTAGGAAGTTTGAATGCACCGCTGCTGGGGTGTCTGTCTTCGCTGACCAGTCCGAGTCCCAGGTTTGACTCCGCCTCCTTACTTTAGTAAATATGAACATACTGTGAAGGCTCCGCCTCCTGCCTCAGTTTTCCCGTCTGAATGGCCAGAGTACTGAGGAGGCGGCGCCTAAAGAGGGACAAGCGCCAACTCTATCTGACGACTCAAAGAAGGACGAGTCAAATAGAAACGATAGCTGCCATATCAACCAATCACCAAGCCCTGTTGGTGTGGGGACCAATCAGAAGTCCAGTGACATCACAGATGACATCACAGGCAAGTTAAGAAGTTTTTATTGCTGGAGTGCCAACATTTCACCGCCTGCTGATTTACTTCACCAACCTATTGGCTGCCTTGCTTGTTGCTAGGCAACAGGAGCAACCACACCTGTACTTGAATCAGCTGCAGGTGAAAGAAAGCTCCAGATGCTGTGATGTCAGAGCTTGACCAATCAGAGGAGCTGATGTGAAGGAGAATGAGCCAGAATGAGGGGACACAGTGACAATGTAATAGATGACGTAAAGGACTGCTCTGGCCCCGCCCCTCCTGGCGGCGATTGCAGAGCAGCATTGTGGGTAAATTGACAGATGCTGCAGGTGTGCTACAGGCGCTGGTGAGGGACATTTTGGACAGACAAGACAACGATCCGAAAAACTAACGCTTTAAAACAGAGAAACATCTTTAAACAACTCTTGAATATGTGAGGGGCGTGGTCACAATATAAGCCCCACCCCTTTTACACAGCAGCCACCTTTTCTTGAGGACTGCTGCTGCTACTGCTGCTGCTGCTACTGCTGCTGCTGTTGTTGTTGTTGTTGTTGCCGTTGTTGTTGTTGTCATGGACAACAGGTGAGATCACACCACTCGGCGTCTTGTCAGCTGCCTTGGGGGGGGAGTCTTTGTCTCCAGGTGCGGTGTTGGCCGGGCCAGGAGAGGACATCGAGGTTGTGCGGGACGGCGAGGGGCGATATGCAGATGTCAGCTCAGCTAAGCGCTCCGCTGTTGGACCCCACTTTGCAAAACCAGCGTCGTTCTGAAGGAAGAGCACGGCGGTACCGTGAACCGCCCGGTAGTACATCTCCTCCCTGAAAACACACACAAAGACGCACACACACACACACACACACACACTTTAATGTAGTACTCTGTAGTATAAGTACATGACAGTAGATCGACCCTCTGGTGCCTGTTAGGGGACGTTCAGTACCTCTTGCAGAGGTGTTGGCCCCCCGAGCGGTACTCGTGTTCGTAGGCGGTGACGCTCATCTGGTGACGGAGGAATCGACTCGCTTCCATGCGGGTCAGAGCTGGGGTCGGGGGGTCACGCCACTCAGGGACAAAGACGATGAAGGACAGTGGCTCAGAGGATTTTTCTAAAAGCCCCTAAAAAAGACAGACAGATATAATGACCTGATTTTAATGAAGACACGAGAAGGAGTGATGGACTGAATATCGGCACTGTTGTGATTTGGTGCCGATATTCAGAACAACTTCTCGGAGTGTGGTGGCGTGAAGTGTGACACTTCTTTTATACAAGAGTTAACGAGTTATTTCTTTGTTTATATTTGTAGATTTGATGGTGACTG